CGACGTTCCCGGAGTACGGCGGCAAGTGTTGGGCTGCGACGCCCATCAGATTAGCGGATGAGAAATACATACAGTATCTCCGGAGCTGTACCGCTACTCTTGAAAGGAGCAAGTCCCCTGGTGAGGTAGCTCAGCCCGAGAATCAACAAGCTTCCACCCTATCCTCTGATGAAGTGTTCATCACCGTGAACGATATCTATGACTGAGCATTGAATAAATGACTAACGTGTGAAGTCTTTTTGTTGACGAGAGCACACAATTGTATGATACCGTGATATCGATAATTGAATGATATCGTGATGATACTTGTGAAGTTTCGTTTAACTATACCCAGTCCTTGAGTTGGCCGAGTGGATCGCTTAGTACTGCCTCAGCTGGCACTGCCCGAAGGGTGAGCGAGGAATCCAATGCACCAGTTTCCACTGTCCGGATTGGTACGGCTTCGTCGCCGGTTTCTGCCCCAGTTTCAACTGTCCGGAATTGAACTGCCCGAAAATCGTGAAACGCATTCACCGATTGTCCGAGTTGAAAAGTGCCGAATTTGAACTGTACGGCTTGGGATACACCCGTCGAATGAGTCTCCAAAAAATCCATGCTTGGAGACAGCTTGTGTCGCAGCTTAGACCGAGCTAGATATTTCAGCAGCTTATGTATCTCGTGATGCTCATGTAATCTTTTATGTAAATATAGATTAGATTCGATCATTGACTGAAGTGGTTAGAGATGACGAGCATTGCTTCAGTTTTTTATTCATCAACTCATGTCCTCTACAGCAACTCAACCCAACCAAGTTATCGTGGTTGGTGGCGGTCTTGCAGGGTTTTCTGCTGCTAATAGTATTCTTGAGCATGGTGGTAACGTTTTGCTCATTGACAAGTCAGCGTTCTGCGGCGGTAACTCCTCCAAGGCTACTTCTGGCATCAATGGTTCGTGCACCAGAACTCAGAAGAAGCTCGGTATCGAGGATTCGAACAAGTTGTTCGAATTCGACTGTATGAAGGGTGGCTCCAAGAGTCCTGAGCTTATCAATACCATGGTTGAGCATTCCGGCTCCTCGGTCAACTGGCTCATGGACAACTTCGATCTCGATCTTTCTCTTCTATCTCGTTTGGGTGGTCACTCTGTTGAGCGTACCCATCGTGGTAAGGAGCGTTTCCCTGGTATGACTATCACTTACGCTGAGATGCAGATGGCAGAGGCTATTTCCAAGGCCCTACCTGATAGATGCCAGATCATCAATAAGGCCCGTGCTACCGAGTTGCTCACCAACAAAGAAGGTGACGTGATTGGTGTTCTGTATACGACTAACGATGGTCAATCACATAAGGTTTACGGTCCGGTCGTCCTCGCAACTGGTGGATACGGTGCCGATTTCACTAAAGATGGTCTCTTGGCTAAGTACCGTCCTGACTTGCTCAAGTTGTCTACTACTAACGGAGAGCATTGTACTGGTGATGGCATCAAGATGGGTGTTGCTGCCAATGCTGATGTCGTTGATCTCGAGTGGGTACAGGTTCATCCTACCGGTCTCGTAAACCCCAAGGACCCTGACAGTAAGGTCAAATTCCTGGCTGCTGAGGCTCTTCGTGGTGTTGGTGGAATCTTGCTCGATGCTGATGGTCATCGTTTCTCCAATGAGCTTGGCCGTCGTGATTATGTGTCCGATAAGATGTTCCACAACAAGGGTCCCTTCCGTTTGGTATTGAACACTGCTTCGGCCAACGAAATTCGCTGGCATGTTGAGCACTACAAGGGCCGTGGTGTCATGAAGGACTTCGACAGTGCTTACGATCTCGCTAAGGAGATGGGCATTCCCGCTTCTACCTTGGAGCAGACCTTCAAGGATTACAAGGAGGTTGCTGATAAGCAGGAGGCCAACCCCGATGGTGGTGAGTATGATGCTTATCCGACCGGTAAGACCTTCGATAAGTTCGGCAAGAAGTTCTTCACGAACTACGACTTCAAGATGGACGATCACTATAGCGTCGCCATTGTCACTCCTCTTGTTCACTACTGCATGGGTGGTCTCAAGATCGACACGGCCGGTCGCGTCATCAGCAAGGAGACGAAGAAGCCAATCCGTGGTCTCTATGCTGCTGGTGAAGTTATGGGAGGTGTTCATGGTAACAACCGTTTGGGTGGTAACTCCCTCCTCGATTGCGTTGTCTACGGCAGAATTACCGGAAAGGACGCCTGTAAGAATTTCCTTCCTGCCCGAGAAGACGTGCCTTTGAAGGATCTTGCCCTCGGTCGTACGAAGCCCAACAAGCGTGCCATTATTGTTGGTGGTGGTTTGGCTGGTTTCAGTGCCTGCAATTCGATCCTTGAGCACGGTGGCAGCGTGTTGTTGCTTGATAAGTCTGCTTTCTGTGGTGGTAACTCGTCTAAGGCCACTTCTGGTATCAATGGATCTTGCACTAAGACTCAGAAGAGACTTGGCATCAAGGATTCCAATGAGCTGTTCGAGTTCGATTGCATGAAGGGTGGTTCCAAGAATCCTCAACTCATCAAGACCATGGTCGAAGCTTCTGGCCCTTCCGTTGACTGGTTAATGGAGAACTTCGATCTCGATCTTTCTCTACTTTCTCGTTTGGGTGGTCACTCTGTTGAGCGTACCCATCGTGGAAAGGAGCGCTTCCCTGGTATGACTATCACTTATGCTGAAATGCAAATGGCCGAGGCTATCTCCAAGGCCCTGCCTGATAGGTGCCAGATCATGAACAAGGCTAGGGTGACCGATCTCATCACTGGGGATGACGGTGAGGTCATTGGTGTTCGCTACACTAAAGATGGCAAGGAACGTTCCGAGTTCGGTCCTGTCATTCTTGCAACGGGTGGGTTCGGTGCTGATTTCTCGAAGGACGGTCTACTCGCCAAGTATCGTCCCGACTTGCTCAAGTTGTCCACTACCAACGGTGAGCACTGCACTGGCGATGGAATCAAGATGGGTGTGGCGATTGGTGCTAAGGCAATTGATCTCGAGTGGGTACAGGTTCATCCTACCGGTCTCGTGAACCCCAAGGACCCTGACAGTAAGGTCAAGTTCTTGGCTGCTGAGGCTCTTCGTGGTGTTGGTGGGATCTTGCTCGATGCTGATGGTCATCGTTTCTCCAATGAGCTTGGTCGTCGTGATTATGTGTCCGATAGGATGTTCCACAACAAGGGTCCCTTCCGTTTGGTATTGAACACTGCTTCGGCCAACGAAATTCGCTGGCATGTTGAGCACTACAAGGGCCGTGGTGTCATGAAGGATTTCGACAGTGCTTACGATCTCGCTAAGGAGATGGGCATTCCGGCTTCTACCTTGGAGCAGACCTTCAAGGATTACAAGGTGGTTGCTGATAAGCAGGAGGCCAACCCCGATGGTGGTGAGTATGATGCTTATCCGACCGGCAAGACCTTCGATAAGTTCGGCAAGAAGTTCTTCACGAACTACGACTTCAAGATGGACGATCACTATAGCGTCGCTATTGTCACTCCTCTTGTTCACTATTGTATGGGCGGTCTTAAGATTGATACTTCTTCTCATGTCATTGGCGAGGGCGATAAGCCTATTCGCGGCCTTTACGCTGCCGGTGAGGTCATGGGAGGCGTTCACGGCAACAACCGTTTAGGTGGCAATTCTCTACTTGATTGTGTTGCCTATGGTCGTATCTCCGGCAAGGATTTGATGGATACTTTCTTCCAATCTGCCAAGCCTGTAGCTTTGAAGGACTTAGCTACTGGAAGAACGGAGCCTCGTAGACCTGCGATAGTTGTTGGTGGTGGTCTTGCAGGTTTCTCTGCCGCTAACACCATCTTGGAACGCGGTGGCGAAGTTATCCTCATCGATAAGTCTGCCTTCTGTGGTGGTAACTCGTCCAAGGCCACTTCTGGTATCAATGGATCTTGCACTAAGACTCAGAAGAGACTTGGCATCAAGGATTCCAATGAGCTGTTCGAGTTCGATTGCATGAAGGGTGGTTCCAAGAATCCTCAACTCATCAAGACCATGGTCGAAGCGTCTGGTGCTTCCGTCGAATGGTTGATGGATAACTTCGATCTCGATCTTTCTCTACTCTCTCGTTTGGGTGGTCACTCTGTTGAGCGTACCCATCGTGGAAAGGAGCGCTTCCCTGGTATGACTATCACCTATGCTGAAATGCAAATGGCCGAGGCTATCTCCAAGGCTCTGCCTGATAGGTGTCAGATCATGAACAAGGCTCGTGCTACTGAGCTTGTTCAGAATGACAAGGGTGATGTTGTTGGTGTGAAGTATGAGAAGGGTGGCAAGACATATACGCTGGAGGGACCTGTTATCCTCGCTACCGGTGGTTATGGTGCCGATTTCTCTAAGGATGGTCTATTAGCCAAGTACCGTCCCGACTTGCTCAAGTTGTCCACTACCAATGGCGAGCATTGCACTGGTGATGGAATCAAGATGGGTGTTGCAGTTGGTGCCCAAACTATTGATCTCGAGTGGGTACAGGTTCATCCTACCGGTCTCGTGAACCCCAAGGACCCTGACAGTAAGGTCAAGTTCTTGGCTGCTGAGGCTCTTCGTGGTGTTGGTGGAATCTTGCTCGATGCTGATGGTCATCGCTTCGCCAATGAGCTTGGCCGTCGTGATTATGTGTCCGATAAGATGTTCCACAACAAGGGTCCCTTCCGTTTGGTATTGAACACTGCTGCGTCTGACGAGATTCGCTGGCATGTTGAGCACTACAAGGGCCGTGGTGTCATGAAGGAGTTCAGCAGTGCTTACGATCTCGCTAAGGAGATGGGCATTCCTGCTTCTACCTTGGAGCAGACCTTCAAGGATTACAAGGTGGTTGCTGATAAGCAGGAGGCCAACCCTGATGGTGGTGAGTATGATGCTTATCCGACCGGTAAGACCTTCGATAAGTTCGGCAAGAAGTTTTTCACGAATTACGACCTCAAGATGGACGACCACTACAACGTCGCTATTGTCACTCCTCTGGTCCATTACTGTATGGGTGGCCTCAAGATTGATGAGTTCTCTCATGTTCTTGGTAAGGAGGACAAGCCTATCCGTGGTCTGTATGCTGCCGGTGAATTGATGGGTGGTGTTCACGGCAACAACAGATTGGGTGGTAACTCTCTTCTGGATTGTGTTGCTTACGGCCGTATTTCTGGTAACAACCTCATCGACACTTTCTATCCTAAGTGCGAGCGTGTTCCTCTGAAGGATCTCGAGGATGGTCGTACTGAGTCTCGTAAACGTGTTATTGTTGTTGGTGGTGGTCTTGCTGGTTTCTCTGCCGCGAACACTGTTCTTGAACACGGCGGGGAAGTACTCTTGGTTGACAAGTCGGCCTTCTGTGGTGGCAATTCATCGAAGGCAACTTCGGGTATCAACGGTTCCGGCACCAAGACTCAAGAGAGGCTCGGTATAAAGGATTCTAATGAGCTCTTCGAGTTCGACTGTATGAAGGGTGGCTCCAAGAGCCCAGAGCTCATTAACACTATGGTTGAGCATTCTGGTCCTTCTGTTAACTGGCTTATGGATGTCTTCGGTCTCGATCTTTCTCTTCTATCTCGTCTGGGCGGTCACTCTGTAGAGCGTACTCATCGTGGTAAGGAGCGTTTCCCTGGTATGACCATTACGTATGCTGAGATGCAGATGGCTGAGGCTATTGCCAAGGCACATCCAGATAAGTGCCAGATTATCAACAAGGCGAGAGCTACTGAGCTCGAAACTGATAATGAAGGCAATGTTATCGGTGTCAAGTACGAGAAGGATGGTAAATCCTATGTTGTTGATGGCCCTGTTATCCTCGCAACTGGTGGATACGGTGCCGATTTCACTAAAGATGGTCTCTTGGCTAAGTACCGTCCTGACTTGCTCAAGTTGTCTACTACTAACGGAGAGCATTGCACCGGTGATGGCATCAAGATGGGTGTTGCTGCCGATGCTGATGTAGTTGATCTCGAGTGGGTACAGGTTCATCCTACCGGTCTCGTGAACCCCAAGGACCCTGACAGTAAGGTCAAGTTCTTGGCTGCTGAGGCTCTTCGTGGTGTTGGTGGAATCTTGCTCGATGCTGATGGTCATCGTTTCTCCAATGAGCTTGGCCGTCGTGATTATGTGTCCGATAGGATGTTCCACAACAAGGGTCCCTTCCGTTTGGTATTGAACACTGCTTCGGCCAACGAAATTCGCTGGCATGTTGAGCACTACAAGGGCCGTGGTGTCATGAAGGACTTCGACAGTGCTTACGATCTCGCTAAGGAGATGGGCATTCCGGCTTCTACCTTGGAGCAGACCTTCAAGGATTACAAGGAGGTTGCCAGTAAACAGGAGGCCAACCCCGATGGTGGTGAGTATGATGCCTATCCGACCGGTAAGACCTTCGATAAGTTCGGCAAGAAGTTCTTCACGAACTACGACTTCAAGATGGACGATCACTATAGCGTCGCCATTGTCACTCCTCTTGTTCACTACTGCATGGGTGGTCTCAAGATCGACACGGCCGGTCGCGTCATTAGCAAGGAGACGAAGAAGCCAATTCGTGGTCTCTATGCTGCCGGTGAAGTTATGGGAGGTGTCCATGGCAACAACCGTTTGGGCGGTAACTCGCTTCTCGATTGTGTTGTCTTCGGTCGCTTGACTGCTGACGATGCTTGTGAGGGTCTCCTTGGTCTCAAGAAGAGCGTCTCTCTGCCTGCTCTTGCTAAGGCACCTGCTAGCGTACCCAAGAAGGTTGCTCAAGCTAAGGTTGCTGCGGCTCCTGCTGCTCCTGTTGTACACGGCTACACTAAGGAGGAAGTCGCTAAGCACACCACTGAGAGTGATTGCTGGGTTATCATCAATGGCCAGGTCTTGAATGTCACGAACTTCCTTCCAGAACATCCTGGTGGAAAACTTGCCATCATGACCTTTGCAGGCAAAGATGCTAGTAAGGAGTTCAACATGATCCATCCATCTGATGTCATTGAGAAGTATGCCCCCGATTGTGTCCTCGGTCCTGTTGTTGACAAGGCTACTGCTGCTGCTGCTCCTGTTGCTCCGTCTACTCCTGCTGCAGTGACGGTCACTCCGACAAATTCTGCTGCCGCTGGTAAGTCGTATACTATGGAAGAGATCTCGAAGCACAATTCCCGTGAATCTTGCTGGGTTGTGATCGATGGTGAGGTCTTGGATGTTACGGGTTTCTTGCCTGATCATCCTGGTGGAGATATCTCTATTCTCAACTATGGTGGTAAGGATGCTACTGAGCCCT